ACTTAAGAATTGATGCAAAAAAGCACATAAAAAGCAAAAAAAAAAAAAAAAAAAAAAAGCCATAGTGAAATGAAAACAAATATTACAAGCATGTGCTATAGATTTCAAAATAGCAAAGTTATCTTTAAATTGGAAGAAATCAAAAAAGAAAAAAATCAAGGTTGCCACTGTCTTTCATAAATCTGTTAGAAACATTGCTATGGACAAAATGGTACACTCTCTCTAAATGTAAGAAAAATACTTTAGTAAGATTATACAGATGAATAAACTGAAAAAATTTTTAATATTTTGTTATGAATTTATTTGTGATATTTCTCCCATGTTTAAAGTAAATGCATCTCATTAATTATATAGAAATGAAAAATCACCAACTATATTCCCCCCAAAAACTTATTACAAAGTTTCAAAGCTAAGAAAGAGTACATCATTATTCATTTAAATACAGCACATAATATGATTACTAGTCTTAATTTCTTACATAATCAGAAAATACCACACATGTATCTGATACCATAAGTAATCCTTCTGCATTTCATTAACTTGGGACAATAAAAAATTTGCAAATAATAATTCCTTCCACAAAAAAAAAAAAAAAAAAAAAAAAAAAAAAAAAAAAAAAAAAAAAACCAAACTGTAACTTAACAACATTCAACATAAAAAAGTACACAATTTAAACATCCAAATTTATGATCTATTAAGTTCTACAAAGTTCTAATCTACAAAATAGATAATTTTTAAGCAAACGTCCAGTTACAAATGTAAATTCTTCATAATTTTATTATTCTGTATAGGATAATTAGCTAAATTACTTTTTAGAACTTTTTTACTCGTCAGAAAGTGAATATGAGCATTAATTAAAAAATATATATTTTAACAGATCATAACAACTGACATTAAGAAAAATTTTAAGCATTAATCAACCATCAAATAAAATTTCTACTCTATGCTCGTTGTATTATACTCAAATAAATTTTAAGACCGAACCAGATAAAGTCTCAGACACAGTCAGATTCAGAATGGCAGTTCACACAATCATTCAAATTCCTCCCAATGACCTAGCGATTAAAAACCACAGAACCTCAGTAGTTCAACCCAGATACAAATCCCAGTCAATGCACTGCTTGGGTCATTTTTCACAGTTCCTCATAAGCAACATAACTATGGGTCAGTATCTCTTAAAAAGACTTCCATAAAGGCATCCCTCCTCATGTCTTGGGCAGATGAGAGTTTTCCTTGAGTTTTGTCTTACTCAGACAGATAGAATTCCAGCAACTGAACATGCTGACTGATAGATGTTTTCATGATTTTCCAGCATGTAATATTTATAAGCTATCTACATGAAAGCCCTAATATACTTTGAAGATTTCTAACAGATAATGTGTATATAGTTTCCCATAGAAAGTCTGTACAAAAGTATCCCTTTTAAACCCTTACAGCACTTACTTAATACCTTAAAGCCTTCAAGTAAATCCATAAGATTAAATTATTAAAAACATAAAAATATTAATAATAATGCTTTATGTAGTACTGGAATAAAATAAACTTGCACTGGTTCATAAATATTAGAAACCAAAAATGAAAATGGGATATAATGGGAAACAGAATTAAGATGCATAGCAACAGTATTACAAAATATCCATAACTAAACACAAAAAAATTATAAAATACTGAAAAAAAAAAAAAAAACTGTTAAAAGTAAATGAAATCCGAAAAGTAATAAATCAATATCATAAAGTGAGCATGAAAAATAAAATTAATATCTAAAATTGAACAAAAACATTTGGAAGTAAAAAAACTGGCTAGCCTATTCCTTCTCAAGCAAGGGGTGGGCAATGCTAGCAAATCAATTTTTATCCAATACAATAGAATACTATTAAAGTAATACAGTAAAATCTTGCAAACTCGACTCCCGATATCTCAACATTCTGTATAACGACAAATTTTTAGGAACTTTTTAAAGGTATCTCAAGGCCAAACTGGGCAAATATCACATACAGTACATATAATTATTATTTATCCGTATGTCTTTCCTGTTCTGTTCAAAGATTTGAGTGTTCCTTTTCTGTAATTTTTTGCCATTTTCGCAACTGTGCCATTAATTCTTGGAATGGCCTAACAAATTTCAAGATATGTCGTAATACTTGGCAATGCTCTTTGTTTCTTTCGAGGATATGAAGAATGTCAGGTGGCAGCTGGCTGGTGGCTCACATTCCTTTCTTTTGTTGTGAAACATTAGGAGACTTGTCTGAAGTTTTGTGACTGCATCTTATTGAAAACTAAACTCAAGCCAGTTCATTGCAGGTATCGTTCGATAGCTCATATCCAGGCATATAAGTGTTAACATATTTTTGGGAACTTTTTGATATTCTGTGAAGTGGAAATGTCATTCGAAAAGAAAAGAAAACAAACTAAAGTAACAATGGAAATGAAATTAGATGCCTTAAAGAGACTAGACATAGGGGAAAATGTAGTAAACAAAATTACCATGGATTTAGGTGTTGGACGGACTACTTTGACAGAGTGAAAAAAGAAAAAGACCAAAATCGAGTCTTGGTGTATGAAAGGAGCATGTACAGATAGTTTAAAGAAAAAGTATGACAGGTTGTGAATGCGAAAAAAAGAGCAAAGTGCTTTACTTGTGGTTCAGGAAGCAAAGGGAACAGGGGACACCCATTTCAAGACCAATTTTACAGAGAAAGCTCTAAACTTTTATGATGAATTTCAAGAAAGAGAGCTTGGATTTACTGTTAGTTCTGGCTGACTTGACATCAGGTACGGCTAGGTACAGCAACAGGCAGTTAAAACATTTGTGGGGAAACACTACCTGGTAACTTGGGAAATGCTGCAATAGTCAAGGATAATTTCCATAAACTAATTGAAAAGGCGGGTATATCTGCAGATTAAATTTGTAATTGTGATGGTCTGAATTTCGATCATTACCTTAAAAAATTCTGTCATCCCGGGAATTAAAATCGGCACCTGGCTACAAAAAAAGCAAAGAGAGAATCACAATCCTGGCATGCAGCAATGTAACAGGCAGCCATAAGCTCAAACTAGTGCTTACAGGCAAATAAAAAAATCTCCCAGCATTTAAAAACATAAAAAGTACAACAATCAGACCGAAAATAACTATGATCATCCTGTTTGGTTCCAGAATCATTCAAACGCATGGATTAATGGAGCAATATTTAAAGACTGGTTTCATCAGCAGTTCGTTCCATTGGTGGAAAAGATTTTAAAATTAAAAAAAATCTACCAAAGAAGACGATTCTCATTCTAGACAGTGCTCATCCCATTCTGATGCAGAACAGTAGTGAGACGAAGATACAAGAATCATGTTTCTCCCCCTTAACGTAACTTCAGTGTGTTAACCAATGGACCAGAGCATTGAAGAAAAAATACTGACATAAACTTCTTTAAGGCATGGAGGAAGCCATGGAGCATTAACTAAAAAAATATATTAAAGCCATGGAGGAAGCATGTAATATGATCATGAAACTGAAGAAAAAAGATATGTTGGATGGAAATTGAGCAGATAAGCCTCGTTCAATCCTGGAGAAAGTTGCTGGAGCATTCAGGAAACGAATTTCATGAAAGCAGAGAAGAGACAAATTGTGAAATATTTGACTTACTTAAAAAAATTCCAGGCTGCGAAGAAGTTACTGATGGTAATGTTGAAGAATGGATGAGACAAGTTGAAAATTGTGAAATTTTAGGACATGCAGAAATAGTTGCACTGGTGAAAGACTGTGGATAAAAATGAAGATGAATAAGAAAACAAAAGAGATTGAAGACAATGGAAAAGCTAAAATGATGACTCATAGTAAAGGAATGTTCAGTTACACATAGAGGAGCAAGGTGCATATGGTAGAGACATTTTGTTCCTCCATCGCCTACGGCATGACGCTGCACGATGATGGAATGAGCGTTAGAGACAATCTACTATCACACAATATTTTTCTACCAAGAACTACAAACTTTTCTTCATTTTTGTATGTAAGTTCCCCCCCCTCAATTATCTTCGGGTATTTGTTCTTTTTACGACTCCTATTGTGCTAGAACTTGACATAAAAAATCAAATTATATGCTGTACTTTTCCATGTCCAATACTGTGCTACAAATGCTTACAGTAATTTACAGTTAATTATTAAGAGTTCTAAAAAACCCACCCTTTATTCCCTAAGACTCGAGTCTCTCAGTCCACATCATGTCATATTTGCGGGACTCTACTGTAATAGCAACAAACATTCTGCAATGACCACTAAAAGTCAAAAATAATAAAAATTATGTATTTTAAAGCAATCAGTCAGCCCTCTGCTTATTTCAGTTCCAGTTATATAATAAGCCTAATAAACGCAACTTTTAACAAAGTGGACAAAAGGAGGTACCAAGATTATTGCATACATTCATTTGTTACATTGTTTTATAGAAATGGGTTATTTGGCTAATCATACTACATTTAGCTTTCTTCAATTCTCCAATGACAAAATAAAAACATATGATAGAAATTATTTTAATACATTATAACTTTTTTTAATTCACTGATTTTAATCCCAATTATTAAAATATTCACTTTTTTAATATGATGACCCCCCAAAAAACTACAATATTAAAATAAAATATTTAACTAGAAAACCAATAGTACCACACAGATTTTAAATAAATATTCAAAAGCCATTTTTTTCTTTCAACGTTTGAGCTGCTCATTGTCATCACATCATCAGCTGCGACTTCTGTAAATCAAAGTTTTTAATATATACAACAGCTTTCCTTTATTTTCATCTACATACTTCTTTCATATTCCCAACTTTTACATGATCATTAGACCATAATAAAATGTTTTCATATTATTAAAGCAAAGAAAAGGATTTAGAGAAGTGGCAACCTTGTACAGATCAATTAACTAGCAAAGACAAGGCTATAGAATCCTGTATTTAACAGACAGCATTCTTTGATCTAAATATAAAGCCAAGTCAAGCATTACCTAAAATAATGTATACCTGTCAACTGAAGTAAAGGAAAGAGATGAAGGCATTTAAAGTGGAGTAGGAGGTTGACCAAAAATTTGCATAAATTTCTTTGAAGAGATAGAACTGCAGCAAGTAGACAGCAATTTCTTTTGAAAACTTATCCTGAATCACAAGCATTACATATTTTAAACTCTTAAATCGGGGCACATGAAGCATGAAATCACACTATATATAAAAAATCAAATTAATAAATGAAGATGATTTACAGCAACATCTGTTATTCTGAGCTACTGATAAAAGTTTTGAAAACAACATGGTAGAAATACTAGATTAGCTTCTTCAGTTAAGCAATTTAAAAGTAATGGTACTTGCCATTCTGAATTACAAAAATTTATCCCACTACACAAAGTTTAAAAAACACATACATGCATGAATAGTACTAACACACTAAGCTTAATAATTTTACAACAAGCACAGAAAAGAGAGAGTTTACAGACCTGTTCCTAAAATTACACTTAAAATTTAAATCCATAGATATCACATAGAAATATTAAAAACCAAGCCTGGCACTAAAAAATTTGAGGAAGCATTAATGCTTTCTAAAAAAAGCACTTAAAAATCACTTAAGTACTCATATTAATTCTATAAACTTTCTCAAAACAAAATTATAACGAATATCTATACAACAATGGCAGGACAAAGAAGAAAAAGGTAGCATCTAACACTTAAGACATATGGAAAAAGTTGAGATAACAGCATGTACATAGTCCAAATGATAGTACATGAAACTTCATTCAAATTAATAAGTTATTAAATGAGCTATGCTACAGAAGCTATTAATCAAACACTGTGAAAATTAATGATAAATATAGAAATGTACATTTTATTAGTTATTTTAATCAGTTAATTACTCCATTTCATATTTTTGTTACAGATTGCAAATCTATGAATCTTATAATCTTTAAAGAATAGGAAGGGAGAATATATTCTTTGTCTGGATTGGTTTATTCATCCGACTGTTATATTTGATCCTTTATTATTTATTTATTTATTTTTTTTTATTACTGCATTAGAACAGATTACCTACTTTCAAACTGCCAGGGTATTTTTAACAGCAATTCAGTTCATAAATCAGATAAATGGTTCAAAGCCCCCCCTCACACACAAAAAAGGGGGGAGAGAAAGGAATGAAAATATAAGCACAATTCATGCTGTAAATATTTATACACACAACACAGCTTTGTTTCCTAACATCATTCAACAGACTTTAAATAGTTCCTGCATACAAATACACACCTAAATGTTTTAAAATTTAACCAAAACATTAAATGTTTTAAAAGCATAAGCAGCTTCACAGTGCAAATTATTTGAGATATGAAAACACATGATATAACACATGAAAAATTATTACAAATACTTGGCAATAAGAAAGAATAAGCAAATATATACAAAACACACACAAATGCAGCTGCTAAGCATAAAGAGTTGAAAATCAATATTACTACTATCTTTTTATGTTGTAGCATTTAACGATATGAATAAACTTAAATTATACATGGGGAAAAAAAAAAAAAAACAAGTTTTAGGATATCATAACAGGTTTAAAAAAAATATTTGTTCAAAGTAAATAAGATAAATATGACTGCAGTTCAAAAATTAAGGTAACAAGCTTTCATAGGTGTAACAATCCTCTCATTAATAAAATTTCTTTCCTGGGATCAGCAAATGACCACAGCATATGATTCCCACTGACAGCTAGCATAGTTATTGCATCAGCGCAGGGAAATATCAGTAATAAAATAGAAGCACAAACAAAAATTTGGTCAAATGACGAAATATGGTAAGGTTTCTGCATCAGGAGCAAATCCCACCTGCAGGAATTCAGCATTGATTAGTTAAAGCGTACAGTGTTAGTGTTACACCATGTAAACAAGTTAGGTTTTGGGGTACATGTCTCCCTCTTATAACATGGTAGATAAGATTCCTAGAAAACACTGTGTTGTGTGAAACCATCTCATACAAGACTAACAACCAATACAAAATAGAGAGGTGTGTTTGTTAAACGAAGTACAATATAAAGTCCAAAATTCAGATGTGCAATATCTGGAATGATCTAATAACCAAACCTCCAAACCACTAATCCAGTAAGTAAATAAACATATTAATAAAATTAAAATACCAAGGAAAATTTCCTTTTCCCTACCATAAAATCTAGGAATGGAGATTACTTAAAAAGAAAAAAAAAAAGAAAAAAAAAAAAAAAAAAGAAAAAGAAAAAGAAAAGAAAAGAAAAAAAGAGGCAAATGTGTCATAAAAGCCATTTTTCTTCTCATTGACTGGGATTTCCTGCAGGCATGTAACTTTTCAAACACTTGCTAGCTACAAAGTGAGACAGTAAGCCAAAGATAATGAATCAACAGATTGATGTTGGCCAGAATAACACTTTTGACCCTTGAATAATTGTGAGGGTGTTAACATTTTTCTATCTGAGCTAAACAATAAGCCTCAATGCTGCCATGTCTACATATCATTGTAGTAAACTGATGACCTACAACCTGAAAATTTACTGTTCGGCCTCAATTGATTTTAAACCAACTGTGTCTAAAATTCATTTAAATGGTTGTTCTATGTAGTATGTTTTAAAAATATAAATAATACCTCGATCTAAAGGTTGGATGAATGAGGTAATGTTAGATGGTAAAAAACTCTACTATGGCACTGAGATATTTTAAAATCAATACTTAGGTTATTGATTGGGTGACTTAGAATTGAAGGGTGACTTAGAATGTTACCTAGTAGTAATAGCATCTTGAAGCTAACTCATTTGGTTTAAATAAATATTAACTATCCAATCTAAATGCTTTGAGAACCAAAACTAGCTCAGTTTGACTTAAGATTTCATCCTGAACATTACACACTTTCTTTCTACACTTTGCCTTAGCTGGACTGCAGTCTGTCTGCTTCTTCTTTTTTGCTGCAAATCTATCAAAATCCCTTTGGAACAAGCACATTTAATGTGCCGACTTGTGTGTAACCGCAACATGTTACTGAAAATAAAATTGAAGATTTAATTTGCCTTTGCCTCCAATTTCCTAGTCATTATGGATAAACACTTCTACCCCATCAAAATTCCTGCTCCTGAATATATTACACACACATATATATAGTTTTTTTACTACTCTCTGAATTTTTTTTTTCTGCATATGTTTTGGCTACTTTGTGATCAGGCAATTAGTTTCTCCTTGAATTCTTATGCCATGATTAGTAAAATGTATTTTAAATTTCTCAAACCAACTCTTACTTTCCAAAAAGTGTGGCTTTCTTTACAAAAGATTCTTCATATTCTTTCAGATGGTTGTAAATTTTGAGAGCATTTTCTCTAACACAGTGGTTCTCAAATTTTTTGCCTCACAAAGCCCTTTGCATAATCAACTCCTCTAGTGGACCTCCTTTCTGTCTTACAAGTTAGTGATGTAATACATAGTGTGACAATGTAAAAAATTCGGATGTATACACCACATGACTTCCTTGTATGGAATATTACATTATATGCCTTTTTTTCCTGCATTTCATTTAAACTTATTGAATTGAATTAAATCTACTTTGTTGATAGTGCATATACCACAACAGAATAAATACACTCTTTAAAATTCACTACATTTATTTACCATAGTAAACACTCTGATGCTAGGTTCACCCAACAGCATTACAGCTCATTCACTTTATAACTCACAATGCACAAAAATTATATCATCTGAAGAATTATTTAATCATTGCCTATTTTCTATTCAAATACTATAATAAATCTAAAATGCTAAAATGATGTATAAAAGAAATTAGACAAATAAAAAGAAACAGTTTTTTTTTTAGATGATTCAGCACCGTTTACCTAATGTGCATGCGCTACTTGTAAACATTCTCCTCTGTCCGAGACAAACTGGCAACAATATTTGTTCCCAATACAAAACACTTATTTCCTCTAATTTCATTAAAGAAACATTTCTCATTCAATTAATTCAGTTCTCAGTTCACGGCAAGGCTAAAAACTCAAAATATCTTCATTAAAAATTGAAAGATATAGAAAAACATAAAACACTAAATACAGTTACAAAATTACAAAAACAATTTTTACACTTGAAATTAGAGTTTCTACACAAAAACAAGCAACTTAGCAAGCAGGCAGATTTTTCAATGCACAAAACTAAAACTTTCCTTTTGGTTCCACGCAGCAAAAAAGACACTGAAGGTGCAGAAAAACTAATTCTCTATTCTGCTCAAATGTAAACAAATATGGCTGCTATGGTAAGAAAAATTAAGCTTATTCGCACATACAACTTTTAAATTTCTGATAATTCTACAAATATTGCACGGAGATTAAGTAAAGGCATAAAAACCTTAACCAGAAGATATGAACATAATTCAATCATTTTAAAACAAAAATCCACAATTTACCAACATATAAGAATAAAAAACTGAGCTCAAACTGAGTAACAGACTAGGTATATATATATACACATATATTTATAAAGTTTTGGTGTTGCTGATTGCAACCAAAAAGGAAGGTGCATAACTACATGTTATAGCAATCCCAATATACAAAATTTCAACATTCTGGTGGCTACTCGTTTTTTTAATTATGTGAGATACAAACATACATATGGACACCACGAAAAAATTTGTGCTGAATCCATTTTGTAATTTTATTTGTAATTCATTAGGGAAAAAAAAAAAAAAAAAAAAAAAAAAAAAAAAAAAAAAAAAAAAGAAGAAGAAGAAGAAGAGTTCATTATTGTGTCCTTACGGACAGATATCATGGAAAAACATAGTTAAATTGCAATTAATAGCCGTCAAAATGGATTTGTTCGTTGATACCCAGAACTTTTCGTAATTACAATACTTCCTTTTCTTTGTACAAGGAAGTAAAAAGGAGTTTTTCAAAGAATTGTGCAATGTGCCTGAAATCAAATTATACTTTAAACTTTTTAATTTATCATTATCTCAATTAATTCAATTATTTGATACAAAAATTGTCTACTGATGATCATAGTACATAATTTAAATTTTGTAAATGTTTAGAATAAAAATCGTGTTATTGAAGTATGTACATACATAAAATGTTATAGGAGGCTTTATGCATACTCATGAATGTACTGGAATGAAAC